AGGTGCATACACGCTTATTATGACCCACTTCTCGCATCCAACCTTTACTTTAATCCACATAATTCTTGAATTTACACATTCATATTCTCTTTTCTCCTTCCATAACTGATCATTTAACATTACTGCTACCCCTTCCTTTGCTCTAACTCTCTCAGATACTCCAGATTTAATCCCATTTATTTCCCCCCACTGAAACTCTCCTCGGTGTTAATATGCTAACCAAAAAAAGACCACAGACAATCGATCAGGTTGAGAAGTTGTTGCTGGTGTGGATCAAGGATAAAGAGATAGCAAGTGATAGTGTTTCAGAGACCATTATTTGTTATTTTGTGAGACAGGGGTCCAGTGACTGTCAAGTTGGTCCTAGTGGCATTAAAAGACAGAGAAGGGAAGTAACCCCAGAGAGGGCTTTACCTGAAGTCCTCATGGAGGGGGATTCTCCTTCCAAACACTAACCCCAACTCCCTCTCTCCTCCTCCCTATCTTCCAGATACCATCACCAATCTTCAATAAAGGTAAGTAAAAATGTTATTTTATATGCTTATTTAAATTTATTAATAATTGTACACTATATCTGTTGTGTGTATGCAAAACTATAATGTATTACTATCTATAAAATGTATTTTTTTTTGTGAATATTTTTGGGTTTCTGGAACGGATTACTTGTATTTCCATTATTTCTTATGGGAAATACATGTACTGCTTTGCCTTTCAAATTTTTTGACTTTAGAACTAGCTCCTGGAACAGATTAAGTTCGAAATTTGAGGTTTCACTGTATTTAATTAATTTTCAATACTAGTATTTAGTTAGAGTAATTATTTGTTTATTTACTTATTGAGTGACGGTAGTTACTGATTTATTTATTTATCAGATCGTTTATATTCAGCTTAAAATATTTTCATCTTACGACACATTTGTCAGAACCTAACTCCATCGTAAGTCGACGACTACCTGTACAGAAATAACCCACACACAGAAGAAAGAATTATTATTATAACAGTGGAGGATCGCTAAACCTGTAGGATTATACAATGCATGTGGGGGAGGGGAAGGTTGTGGAAGGTCTTCAGGCTTAATTTGGGGAACTGGAGCACAGATCCAATGCCCCAGATCAAAAACTCCTCACCAGTGTCAAGGAACCTTCCTTGAGGGGATAGAAGAAAAAACTTATGATAGCGTTTTAGTCTGACTCGGATCATTAATGAGTCATATAGTGTATGTGTGTATCTAGTCAATGGTCCAGGTGAGATCAAAACATCATTACGTATTACTTTCTTTCTATGTGCGGTTTATTTATGTATTGTTCCATAGTACTGTACCTTTTTTTATTCTCCTGGTGGCTAACGCTCTCGCTTCACACGGCGAGGGTCTGGGTTCGATTCCCAGCCAGAGTAGAAACATTGGGTGTGTTTCTTTCCACCTATTGTCTATGTTCCCCATCAGTAAAATGGGTATCTGGGTGTTAGTCGACTGGTGTGGGTCGCATCCTGGGACACTGACCTAATTTGCCCGACATGTGGAGCATAACAAGGGGCTTCCTACATAGTAGTATGTCATTGTTGTCAGCTAGGCCTGTATACCATGTACATGTACAGTGGACCCCCGGTATTCGATGGCATCGGTATTCGATAAATCCGGTATTCGATGCATTATATCGCAAAAATTTTGCCTCGGTATCCGATTGAAAACCCGGTATTCAATACGATTCGTACGAGATGTGTCCACATGTGGCCTGAACTGCCCAGTGTGTGCCAGTGTTTACAAGCCAGCCAGTGTGCGTACATCTAAGGATACATTCGGTACATTCCACATTATCACTGTTTTTGGTGCTTGTTTCTGCAAAATAAGTCACCATGGGCCCCAAGAAAGTTTCTAGTGCCAACCCTTTGAGAAAAAAAGGTGCTAATGACTATTGAAATGAAGAAAGAGATAATTGCAAAGTACGAAAGTGGAGTGCGTGTGTCGGAGTTGGTCAGGTTGTACAATAAACCCCAATCAACCATCTCTACTATAGTGACCAGGAAAACGGCAATCAAAGAATCTGTTCTTGCAAAAGGTGCAACTGTGATTACGAAACAGCGACCGCAAGTGTGAAAAGGCTAGGCAGTTGCATGACGATTTGGTAAAGAAATTGCCTGCAACTAGTGCTGATGTGAGTGAATTTAAGGCCAGCAAAGGTTGGTTTGAAAGATTTAAGAATTGTAGTGGCATGCATAGTGTGATTAGGCATGGTGAGGCCGCCAGTTCAGACCACAAAGCAGCTGAAAAATATGTGAAGGAATTCAAGGAGTACATAGACAGTGAAGACTTGAAACCTGAACAAGTGTTTAATTGCAATGAAACAGGCCTGTTTTGGAAGAAAATGCCAAGCAGGACCTACATTACTCAGGAGGAAAAGGCACTCCCAGGACATAAGCCTAGGAAAGACAGGCTTACTCTGTTAATGTGTTCCAATGCTAGTGGTGATTGCAAAGTGAAGCCTTTATTAGTGTATCACTCTGAAACTCCCAGCGTGTTCAGGAAAAACAATGTCCTCAAGGCTAATTTGTGTGTGCTGTGGAGGGCAAACAGTAAGGCATGGGTCACTAGGGACTTTTTCTATGACTGGTTACACCATGCATTTGCCCCCACTGTGAAAAATTACCTAACTGAAAAGAAATTAGACCTTAAGTGCCTCCTGGTATTAGACAACGCTCCTGGTCATCCTTCAGACTTGGCAGAGCGACTTTCTAGGGACATGAGCTTCATTAAGGTGAAGTTTTTGCCTCCTAATACCACTCCTCTCCTGCAGCCCATGGACCAGCAGGTCATTTCCAACTTCAAGAAACTGTACACAAAAGCTCTGTTTGAAAGGTGCTTTGTAGTGACCTCAGAAACTCAACTGACTCTAAGAGAGTTTTGGAGAGATCACTTTAATATCCTCAATTGTGTAAACATTATAGGTAAGGCTTGGGAGGGAGTGACTAAGAGGACCTTGAACTCTGCTTGGAAAAAACTGTGGCCAGAATCTGTAGACAAAAGGGATTTTGAACGGTTTGAGGCTAACCCTGAGAATCCTATGCCGGTTGAGGAATCAATTGTGGCATTGGGGAAGTCCTTGGGGTTGGAGGTTAGTGGGGAGGATGTGGAAGAGTTGGTGGAGGAGGACAATGACGAACTAACCACTGATGAGCTGCTAGATCATCTTCAACAGCAAGAGGCCAGACCTGAGGAAACTGCTTCAGAGGAGGGGAGAGAGAAATTGAAGAAGTTGCCTACTTCAAAGATTAAGGAAATGTGTGCAATGTGGCTTAAAGTGCAAACCTTTTTTGATGAAAATCACCCTCACACAGCTATTGCAAGCCGTGCTGGTGACTATTACACTGACAATGTTGTGAAACACTTTAGGATAAAGGAACGAGAGGTACAGGCCTCTATGGACAGATATGTTGTGCGACAGAAGTCCAGTGACTCTCAAGCTGGTCCTAGTGGCATTAAAAGAAGAAGGTAAGTAACCCCGGAAAAGGACTTGCTACCTCAAGTCCTAATGGAAGGGGATTCCCCTTCTAAACACTAACACCTCTCCCCTCCTCCCATCCCATCAATCATCACCAGATCTTCATTAAAGGTAAGTGTCAATTATTCTATTGTTATTGTTGTTATTGTAATTATTCTATTGCATTAAACTTAATACAGTGGACCTTTGACCAACGTTGGCATCGTCTAACGTTAAATCTGACTGGCGATACATTTTAACGCAAAAATTTTGCCTCGACTAGCGCTAAAAAACCCGACCAACGCTATTTGTACCGTTCGAGACGCGTCCACTTTGGCATGAGCGCGCCTCACTTGTCCCGTGGGTGCCAGTGTTTACAAGCCAGCCAGCCACCACGGTCCCATCCAAACATACAATCGGAACATTTCATATTATCACAAGTCCTAATGGAAGGGGATTCCCCTTCTAAACATTAACACCATCCACACTCTCCCCTCCTCCCATCCCATCAATCATCACCAGATCTTTAATAAAGGTAAGTGTCATGTAACTGTGCATGTCTTCTTCAGTTTGTGTGTAATAAAATTAATATTTCATGTGGTAAAAACAATTTTTTTTTCATACTTTGGGGTGTCCTGCACGGATTAATTTGATTTCCATTATTTCTTATGGGGAAAATTAACTTGACTAACGATAATTTTGACTAACGATGAGCTCTCAGGAACAGATTAAGTGTTAGTCGAGGGTCCACTGTATTTCATGTAGTAAATTTTTTTTTTTCATACTTTTGGGTGTCTTGCACGGATTAATTTGATTTCCATTATTTCTTATGGGGAAAATTAACTTGACTAACGATAATTTTGACTAACGATGAGCTCTCAGGAACAGATTAAGTGTTAGTCGAGGGTCCACTGTATTTCATGTAGTAAAATTTTTTTTTTCATACTTTTGGGTGTCTTGCACGGATTAATTTGATTTCCATTATTTCTTATGGGGAAAATTAACTTGACTAACGATAATTTTGACTAACGATGAGCTCTCAGGAACATTAAGTGTTAATCGAGGGTCCACTGTATTTCATGTAGTAAATTTTTTTTTTTCATACTTTTGGGTGTCTTGCACGGATTAATTTGATTTCCATTATTTCTTATGAGGAAAATTGATTCGCTTTTCGATATTTTTGGTATTCAATGAGCTCTCAGGAACGGATTAATATCAAATACCGGGGGTCCACTGTACTTGTAGTAAATAAAGATATTATTATTATTATTATTATTATTATTATTATTATTATTATTATCCAAAATCTGCATAAAACATTCACTGTATTGGTTAACATCATTCATCTGATCAGGGCAAGGAGCTGTGACTCAACCCCTGCAACCACAAATAGGTGAGTACATAGGACAATGTGATAAAGCTGGATCATAGGCATGATGGCTGGCCTAGAACTTTCTCTTGGAACTTAAAAGCTTTATTTCCAACAAAATCAATTTTCATTGCAATACAGTGGACCCCCGCATAACGATCACCTCCGAATGCGACCAATTATGTAAGTGTATTTATGTAAGTGCGTTTGTACGTGTATGTTTGGGGGTCTGAAATGGACTAATCTACTTCACAATATTCCTTATGGGAACAAATTCGGTCAGTATTGGCACCTGAACATACTTCTGGAGTGAAAAAATATCATTAACCGGGGGTCCACTGTACTGCCAGGTTGCAAGCTTCAAAGCTGGGTGCAATGTACTCACCTTGAGGCTGTAGTGCTGGGTTCCCAGAGCTTGATCCAGTTTTTCCTTCTGCTTTGTTGGGAAGGAATAACCCAGCTTTAGCTTTGACATGCACAGCTTCAGGTTTGACACTCGCAGCTTTAGTTTTGACACGCGCAGCTTCAGGTTTGACACTCGCAGCTTTAGTTTTGACACGCGCAGCTTCAGGTTTGACACGCGCAGTTTCAGGTTTGACACGCGCAGCTTTAGTTTTGACACGCGCAGCTTCAGTTTTGACAGCCGCAGCTTTAGTTTTGACACGCACAGCTTTAGTTTTGACACGCGCAGCTTCAGTTTTGACACGCGCAGCTTCAGTTTTGACACACGCAGCTTCAGGTTTGACACGTGCAGCTTTAGGTTTGACACACGCAGCTTTAGTTTTGACACGCGCAGCTTCAGTTTTGACACGCGCAGCTTCAGGTTTGACACGTGCAGCTTTAGGTTTGACAGCCGCAGCTTTAGTTTTGACACGCGCAGCTTCAGCTTTGACACGCGCAGCTGCAGGTTTCACATGTACAGCTTGAGCCTTGACACGTGCAGCTTCAGGTTTGACACGTGCAGCTTCAGGCTTGACATGTGCAGCTAAAGCTTTGACACGTGAAGCCTCAGCTTTAACACCCGCAGCTTCAAGTTTTGCACAAGTTTCTCTCCCTCTAAGAGTCAGTTTCTCTCGGTGTTTCACTTTCTTCGTTCCCGCGACACAGGTGCTAAATCTTCTAATTCTTTCCACTTTCTTCTTGAACTTATCACTCGGAGCTTTTTTCCGATTTCGGTAAATTTTTGATCTTTCAGCTGCCGTTTTCGGCGCCATTTTGGATTCTTGCTAACTATATTCTAAAATAACAACAAACAAATATTAAATACTTTAAAAACCAAACAGTATTAGCAAATAATTTTTTTCTTAATTTTCTTAACACATCGGCCATCTGAAAAAAAAGAAGAAACACTTCCACCATTATTTGTTCGATCACAATCTTGCCAGAAGAGCAGAGACATTACAGAATACATAAACACAAGATCTCCTACACCACACAGGTCACACACAAGGTCTCCTACACCACAAGGGTCACACACAAGGTCTCCTACATAACACAGGTCATACACAAGGTCTCCTACACCACAAAGGTCACACACAAGGTCTCCTACACCACAAGGGTCACACACAAGGTCTCCTACATTAAGGTCACACACAAGGTCTCCTACATAACACAGGTCATACACAAGGTCTCCTACACCACAAAGGTCACACACAAGGTCTCCTACACAACACAGGTCACACACAAGGTCTCCTACACCACAAGGGTCACACACAAGGTCTCCTACATAAAGGTCACACACAAGGTCTCCTACATAACACAGGTCACACACAAGGTCTCCTACACCACAAGGGTCACACACAAGGTCTCCTACATAAAGGTCACACACAAGGTCTCCTACATAACACAGGTCATACACAAGGTCTCCTACACCACAAAGGTCACACACAAGGTCTCCTATATAACAAAGGTCACACACAAGGTCTCCTACATAACACACATCATACACAAGGTCTCCTACACAACACAGGTCATACACAAGGTCTCCTGCACAACACAGGTCACACACAAGGTCTCCTACATAACACAGGTCATACACAAGGTCTCCTGCACAACACAGGTCACACACAAGGTCTCCTACACAACACAGGTCATACACAAGGTCTCCTGCACAACACAGGTCACACACAAGGTCTCCTACACAACACAGGTCACACACAAGGAGATTGACTGGGAAAACCTGGAGCCCCATGGGGGTCCCGAAACATGGAGAGCCAAGATGATGGATGTGGTACTGGAAAACCTCATGCATCAACATGTTAGAGACACTACCAGAGAGAGAGGAGAGGATGAACCAGCAAGACTGGACCTTGTATTCACCTTGAGTAGTTCGGACATCGAGGGTATCATGTATGAAAGGCCCCTGGGAGCTAGTGATCATGTGGTTCTGTGCTTCGACTACATAGTTGAACTCCAAGTGGAGAGAGTAGCAGGAATAGGGTGGGAAAAACCAAACTACACAAGGGGGAACTACTCAGGCTTGAGGGACTTCCTGCAAGACATTCAGTGGGAGAGGGAACTGACAGGAAAACCAGTACAAGAAATGATGGACTATGTAGCAACAAAATGCAAGGAGGCAGAGGAGAGGTTTGTTCCCAAGGGAAACAGAAATAATGGGAAGAACAGAACGAGTCCTTGGTTCACCCAAAGGTGTAGGGAGGCAAAAACTAAATGTACTAGAGAATGGAAAAGGTACAGAAGACAGAGAACTCAGGAAAATAAAGAGATTAGCCGACGAGTCAGAAACGAATATGCACAGATAAGAAGGGAGGCTCAGCGGCAATATGAAAATGACATAGCATCGAAAGTTAAGACTGACCCAAAGCTGTTGTACAGCCACATCAGGAGGAAAACAACAGTCAAGGACCAGGTAATCAGACTGAGGAAGGGTGATGGGGAATTCACAAGAAACAACCGAGAGATATGTCAGGAGCTCAACACGAGATTTAAAGAGGTATTTACAGTGGAAACCAGTAGGACTCCAGGAAATCAGAACAGGGGGTTACACCAGCAAGTGCTGGATGAGGTACATATAACGAAGGAGGAGGTGAAGAAGCTGCTATGCGAACTTGACACCTCAAAGGCGGTGGGACCAGACAACATCTCTCCGTGGGTCCTTAAAACTGGGCAACTCCCTGAGGTATGGAAGATGGCAAATGTAGTCCCAATTTTAAAAAGGAAGACAGACATGAGGCACTAAACTACAGACCTGTATCACTAACGTGTATAGTATGCTAGGTCATGGAGAAGATCAGGAGGAGAGTGGTGGAGCACCTGGAAAGAAACAAGTGTATAATTGACAACCAGAAACGGTTTCAGGGAAGGAAAATCCTGTGTCACAAACCTACTAGAGTTTTATGACAAGGTGACAGAAGTAAGACAAGAGAGAGAGGGGTGGATCGACTGCATATTTTTTGGACTGCAAGAAGGCCTTCGACACAGTTCCTCACAAGAGGTTACTGCAAAAGCTAGAGGATCAGGCACACTTAACAGGAAAGGCACTGCAATGGATCAGAGAATACTTACAGGGAGGCAACAACGAGTCATGGTATGCGACGAGGTGTCAGAGTGGGCGCCTGTGACAAGCGGGGTTCCACAGGGGTCAGTCCAAGGACCTGTGCTGTTCTTGGTATATGTGAACGACATAACGGAACGGATAGACTCAGAAGTGTCCTTGTTTGCAGATGATGCGAAGTTAATGAGAAGAATCAAAATTTGGGTAAGGATCAGGCAGGACTACAAAGAGACCTGGACAGGCTACAAGCCTGGTCCAGCAACTGGCTCCTTGAATTTAACCCTGCCAAATGCAAAGTCATGAAGATTGGGGAAGGGCAAAGAAGACCCCAGGACACAATATAGTTTAGATGGCCAAAGACTGAAACCCACAAAGGGAAAAAGATCGGGGGGGGGGAGTTAACACCGGGGCATTCTCCTGGGGGGCACATCAATCAGATAATGCTGAATTTTTACGGGCGCCTGGGAAAAACCCTTACGAATAGCGTTCCGATCCCTCGTATGGATTTCGTTCAAGACTCTGTATAAAATTTTTGTTCGGCCCCCATACGGATTGAAAGAAACCATTTTGGGAAAACCCACCCCTTTAGTAAAGGGCAGTAAAAGAAATTGGGAAAAAAAGTCAAAGGGTTTTGCAACATAAATAGCCCCAGAGCAAACGGGGTTTGTTACGAAAAAGGGTTTTGAGGGAAATCGGCCCGGGCCCCCCACTGGAGGACAGGAGGTCAGGGGGGACTTGTAACGCCATTTTAAAAATACGGGCGGGGAAAATAGACAAGGGGGAAAAAAAGGGAAGGGATTTTCCCAGAGAAGGGGGAAGGACCAAAAGGGAGGTCAAAATTGGGAAAGTTGAAGATCAGATGAATAAAAAGGGAAATGTTAGGAAGTTTTTTTTCATTTCAAAAGGTAGTAAAGGGTCGGGGAAATGTTTTAAAAAGTGCATGGGGGTGGGGGGGGGGGAACCATAATTGTTTTAAGGCGAGGTATAATAAAGCCCCTGGGCGGGGGAGAGAGATGACCTGGTAGAAAATCAGCGAAGAGGCGGGGCCCAGGGCTGTGACTCACCCCTGCAACCACAAATTAGGGGGGGAGTACAAATGGGGCGAGTACACAAGGTCTCCTAAAAAAACAGAGGTCACACCCCAAGGGTTTCCCCTTAAACCAACACGGGTCACACAAGGTTCCAACCCAAACAAGGTCCCACAAGGTCTCCTACACAGGTCACACAAGGCCCTACACAGGTACAAAAGGTTACCAGGTCTCCCAACAACACAGGTCACACCAAAAGGTTTTTTACACAACAAGGTCCCCACACAAGGTCTCACAGGTCACCACAAGGTTACACAGGTCACACACAAAGGTCCCACACAGGCCCACAAAAGGTTACACAGGTCACAAAGGTTACCACGGGTCACACAGGTCTACAAAAACACAGGTCACACACGAGGCCCTACAAAACACAGGTCCAAAAGGGTTCTACACAACACAGGTACCCCACAAGGTCTACAAAACCCACAGGTCACACAAAAAGGGTTTCCTCCACAACACAGGTCCAAAAGGGGTTTACCCCACACAGGTCACCCAAGGTCTACAAACAAAGGTCACCCCAAAAAGGTTCCTCCACAGGTCACACAAGGTTCCCCAAAGGTCACACAAGGTCTACACAGGTCTAAAAAAACACGGGTTCACAAACAAGGTTTACACAACCAGGTCAAACAAAAGGTCTACACAGGCAACAAAGGTCCCCCTACACAGGTCCCACAAAGGGTCTATGCAGGTCACACAGGGTCTACAAGGTAACACAGGTTACACAACACAGGTCCACACGGGTCTCCCAAAACCACAGGCCCAACAAGGTCTACAAAAACAAGGCCCACACAAAAGGTTAAAACAACCGGGTCACACACAAGGTCTACACCCACGGGTCACAAAAGGGTTTACACAACACAGGTCACACAAAAAGGGCTCCCCAAAACACAGGTACATAAGGTCTCCCAAAAACACGGGGTCCCCACACAAGGTCTTTTTTTTTTATTTATTTATTTAGTAATTTAAGCCCATACTCCGGGAGGTGCAAAAAATACGGGGAAAGAGCAGTATCCCCAAAGCCATTTTATATAAATTGCTTAGGGCTGGTTTTTAAAATTTAAATTTAAAGTTTAAAACTAAGCAATGATGAAACCCGTGATAAAACAAAAATTTTTAAACAGATAACTTTTAAATTTACAAAAGTTTTTTACAAAGAAAGGTCATATGGTTGCATGATTTTGTACATTCAGAAAATGGAGTATTCGGGTTTAGGTAGTGTTTTTTTAAAATTAAAAAAGGGTTAGATTGGGTTCTAGGTTTAACTTTTTAATTGATAAAATTTGTGGAAAATTTTTTTTAAAGGATATACAATTTTAAGGTTCAGTTATTCAGTATTTATTTGGTTTTGATTGAGTAAGTGATTTTTGAGAAGAGACTTGAATTTAAAAAAACGGTAGTTTTTCTTTTATATTTAAGGAAAATGAATTTCCAGATTTTGGGGCCCTTTTAAATGTGCAGGGAGTTTTTGCTAGTGTGGGGGGGAAACCACGGGGAAAACCAAAGAGTGATCTGTGCCTTGTGTTATGGTAAAGTGTTCTGTTGAGGTTGGCAAGAGTTTGAGGGGGGGGTTTAAAAAATTTTAATTCCAGAGTTAAGTTTTTCTTTGTATGTAATGGTGCATTTAAAAAGTTGGATGTTTTTTTATGGTGAGTGGGTTTAGTGAAAGGGAATATTGGGGGGGGGTGGGGCCGGGTAGTGAGAATTTGTTATATTCTAACTGCCCCTTTTGTTGGGTAATTAGTGGTCTAAAGAGGGGTTAATTGTTTTTGGGGCCCCATGCACAAATTCCCTAGGTGAGATAGGGGTAAATTAAAAAGAGTTTTATAGGGCCAGGGGGGGCCTTTACTGTGGAAAAAATAGTACCGTATCTTCGATAGTATGCCTTTTCAGTCTTGGAAATTTTCTTTGAAAAAATTTTTTTTTTATATGTGTATGAAAAATTTGAGTCTATTTTCGAGGTGGATTCCCAAAAAATTTTCCCTCTGTTTTGTTTTGTGATAGGTTTATCCGTTTAAACATTATGTTAAGAGGTACTTTTGGAGCTCTGTTCCAAACTGAATGAAGTAGGGTTTTTTCAATGTTTTGTGGGAAGTTTTTTGTCCATCAGGAGATATTTTTCTGTAATTTGGATTTACGTATTGGTAGGTGACTGGGCTCGGGGGGAAGGAAGGGGTTGTGTTGTGTCATCTGCAAATAGTGTGGGTTTTTAGTAATTGCGAAGTTTTGTTTAAAAATTCATTTATTTTATAGGAGAAAGGGGAAGGGGCCAAGGGGCCACCTTCCCTTGGGACACCCAACTGTTTAAATTGGGTTTTGCAGAAGTGCCCTTTCCCCCTTTGCCCTTACACATATTGGCTTTGTTGTTGGAAAGGTTTAAAACTTAGGGTAGTTGATGGAGTGCCCATTATACCATAGGTGACAATTTTTTCATGGAGCAAGCATGGGCAAAATGTATCAAAAGCTTTTCACAATCAATGAAGTTCCCCCGTGGGCTTCTTTTTTTTTTATTGCAGTGTATAATGTTCTAGCAGGTGTATTTTAGATCATTTTGTATTTTTACTAGGCCTGAATCCAAATTGGCAGGGGGGTTTAGAATGTTTTGGGAGATTTAGGCAGGGTAGATTTGTTTATGAATTAATTTTTCGGAAGATTTTTTGGGGAGGGTGTAAATTGGAATTGGCCCATTAGTTTTTAAAATCGTTTTTGGTTCCTCCTTTTTTGGATTTGGGGTTTACCCTTGCTATTTTTTAGAAATGTGGGGGGGGGAGGATTCAATTTGGGGGTTTTTTTTAAAGAGGTTGGGAATGATTTTGATTAGTTCGTGCGCTTTTTTTTTATTTAAAAGGGGGGTTAAGGTAAATTTTAAAAACCCTGCCTTTGTTTTTTTAGTGGTTGATAAAAAGGGGGGGATTCGTATGGGGTTTTGGGCGGAGCTAGGAAAGTTGTTCGGGTTGTTTTTCCCGTGAGGTTGTTTTGGTGGGGTATCTGAGCTTGGGATTTTTTTATTGGGAAGGTTTTTTACCCCATAGTGGAGAAAATCATTGGTCTGTTTGCTGTTTTCTGTTTGGGGGGAGTTGGGGTTCATCTGATTTTGCTAATTTTTTTTCGCTATTTCGTGATATCTTTTTTGCCCCCGGGAAATTTTTGATAGGGGTTTTCCAGGTCTTTTTTATATCCCCCTGTTTAAATTGGATAAAACTTTTTTCTTAATTAAAAAGTTTTTTTTCCCTTCTTATCAGGTGGTTAGGGGCTTGAGGAAATAACGTTTTGTTTTTTTTTCTGGGTTATGTTACCCATTTTTTTTAGTTTTTCATATCGGTTTTTTTTTTGGATTTTTGGGTTTTTAGGGTTGGGTGGGTGTTGGGCCCGGGACTGTTCAAGGGTTTTTTAGTGTATTTGTTTAGTTTTTTTTTGGGCAGTTTTTTCTTTTTTTATAAAAAGGTTTTTTTGGGTTTTTTTTTTTAAGGGGAAAAAAAAATTTAAAACATTCGTCAAAATCTGTTAGATTTCTAGCTCAGTGTGGCCCGTCAAAGTTTGTTATTTCTGTTTTGAAGTTAATTTAAAGGTGCCCTTTATTGTGAAATCTGAAGGGAACCCTTTTGTAGTGTCTTGGGGTTTTTTTACCACGAGTTGTTATGAGGAAAGTAGGGGAGTGGTGGGGCCCGTTTGGGATTATTGTAATTATGCCTGATTTTTAAGGGGATATTTGGGTTTTTGGTTCCCGAAGTGGTCAATAAAACAACAAAAGGGTCCCCCACAAGGGGCTTAAAAACACAGGGACACAAGGGGGTACACAAAACAGGTTTACACCCCAAGGTTAAACAACACGGTCAAACACGAGGTCTACCAACACAAAGGTTTACACAAGGTCTACCCAAACACAGGTCAAAAACAAGGTCTACACAACCAGGTCACACACAAAAGGGCTACACAACACAGGGCACACACAAGGTCTACACAACACAGGTCACACACAAGGTCTACACAACACAGGTCACAAACAAGGTCTACACAACACAGGTCACAAACAAGGTCTACACAACACAGGTCACACACGAGGTCTACACAACACAGGTCACACACAAGGTCTACACAACACAGGTCACACAAGGTCTACACAACACAGGTCACACACAAGGTATACACAACACAGGTCACACAAGGTCTACACAACACAGGTCACACACGAGGTCTACACAACACAGGTCACACACAAGGTCTACACAACACAGGTCACACAAGGTCTACACAACACAGGTCACACAAGGTCTACACAACACAGGTCACACACGAGGTCTACACAACACAGGTCACACACAAGGTCTACACAACACAGGTCACACAAGGTTACACAACACAGGTCAAACAAGGTCTACACAACACAGGTCACACACGAGGTCTACACAACACAGGTCACACACGAGGTCTACACAACACAGGTCACACACGAGGTCTACACAACACAGGTCACACACGAGGTCTACACAACACAGGTCACACACGAGGTCTACACAACACAGGTCACACACGAGGTCTACACAACACAGGTCACACACAAGGTCTACACAACACAGGTCACACACGAGGTCTACACAACACAAGTCACACACGAGGTCTACACAACACAGGTCACACACAAGGTCTACACAACACAGGTCACACACAAGGTCTACACAACACAGGTCACACACGAGGTCTACACAACACAGGTCACACACGAGGTCTACACAACACAGGTCACACAAGGTCTACACAACACAGGTCACACACGAGGTCTACACAACACAGGTCACACACGATGTCTACACAACACAGGTCACACACGAGGTCTACACAACACAGGTCACACAAGGTCTACACAACACAGGTCACACACGAGGTCTACACAACACAGGTCACACACGAGGTCTACACAACACAGGTCACACAAGGTCTACACAACACAGGTCACACACGAGGTCTACACAACACAGGTCACACACAAGGTCTACACAACACAGGTCACACACGAGGTCTACACAACACAGGTCACACACGAGGTCTACACAACACAGGTCACACAAGGTCTACACAACACAGGTCACACACGAGGTCTACACAACACAGGTCACACACAAGGTCTCCTACATAACACAGGTCACATCTCCACACTAACACACCTGTGACCTCTCGTGACACACTTCTGGTCACATCTCCCATGACCTGGCGCCAATATGGCCATCAAATAAGCCAAAAATATCGAGGAAAATGTCCTCTTTCCTCTTTGTTTACACTCTGAAGCTGCTTCGGCTCCCTGGCGTCTCCGCCAATCACAACGCCGCTTACAAAATTCTTCCACCTATCACCGCGCAGCTGGCAAATTGATTCCTCTCATTGGTCGACGCCGAATCGACACCTTGTTCCATTCCGTATTTTATCTTCCACGAGGAAGCACTAAGCCCGTAGGGGGTTATGTAGTGTCTGGGGGATGGGAGGTAATAGGTTCGTTCCGAGGAAGAAGAGAGAGGCTCCAAATCAAGAGCTTTTTTTTTGTTATCGTGAAGGTTCAGAATGAAGGTTCCATAACGAACCCGGGTTCGTCTTGAGGGTTCGTTTCTCAGAGGACAAGTATATGTACAAGGTATACATTGTACAAGGTATACATGTACAAGGTATACATGTACAATGTATACATGTACAAGGTATACATGTACAATGTATACTGT